GGGGGGAGGGGGGGAGGGGCAAAGGAGAAGGTAGGTTATGTGGTTCACACTAGACTATCGATTCCGCTGACTGACCAGTACTCCGTACCTTACTGTCTGTGCCTGCCAGGCGACGAAAAGGTAATGGTGCGCCGGACTAGAGCCCTTCAGCCCCGAAGCCACAACTACGAACCAGACTACAGACTGGACTATTCTTCCCCACTTGCGCCTACCGGAATCAGCTCCGCTACATTATTCTTCTGGTGGAGATCTATCCAAATTACTCATACTCGGACCGCTACTGATCGATCTGGAGAGGCAGTGGGCAAGAGCAAATCAGTGTCGTGCTGGTGGATCTTCCGCTGATCTTCGCCGAGGAAACCTCGATAGTCTCGTCTTCCAGGATTCCCCCAGTCTACGTCTATTCAAGTCTGTAGGAGACACCGTCGGTCTGTCAAGCGTGCCAATGCATAGCAATGGCGTTCAGTTTTCATTCTTCGCTCTCTACCAACACAATTCCTGAAAGGGGCAGTCCATCTCTTGGAAAGCTTTATTGTGAGTAAGTGGCTCGGAACTTGACTTTCCTGGACTCGATCTAACTATAATTTACAGTGCGGCGGTCTGCGGTCCGCGGTCTGGCATTCAGCCCTCTCTCTCTCTGATGTGAGTAAATTGACGTCGATCAATTTTAGTCACTGCTTTCGGATACGTCATGCTAAAATCTGGCTGTTTGCTGCAAACCCCGGATGGCATGGTCGACCGAGGCGGTTTCAAGTGGGATTGGACGATACTTTCTGGCTTCAGCCTTTAATTTACCCCCGACAAGCGACCGATCACATTCGTCCCCTCGTGCCTGCAGCCAACTCCACACGGGGATTCTGTTTTTTCTTCGGGGTTCTCTTCACTCTGCTTTGCTGCAGGTATCTAATTTAGGAGCGCGTAAATAACTACAGCGTATGAAAGCGCTGATAACCGAAGAACCCACGCAGCGAAATACTCCTCTTGGTCGCAGATTGAGTGTTTCTAAATCAGATGCAACCACCTTTGTGCTTACTATCCCTTCCTTTTACATGAACAGGTCTAGCCTACTCCATACGTAGTAGTGTCGTAACTACTAGGTAGCTCTTGAACGAAGTACAGTACAAAGATACCCGTGGGTGGACAAGTATGCTATGCTCGTCACGCGGATGATTTTCACCCGCCCATCACTATGGGTGGAGGCCGGGGATGTACACTAAAGTACGTACGGAGCAGTTAATGTGACAGAAGATTGTACTTACAAACACTTCCCTAGCCTAGGACGACTCTCCGGCTTGCAGCAGCTGATGAGACAGCCAGAATTGCAGGCATCCCTGTGCGTAAATCAGTCACATCACATTACATTACGGTAATTAGGAGCACTGGTCCTGCATGTCAAATATGTTGGTCAATTAAGCCAAAGTTGACAGGTCGTTGTCACTGATGCTTCACAGCCGAGAAGCTGATGATTACACCTTCCAATGTACTAACAGTGTGGTCTGATGGTTACATATAATCGCAGTCTCACAGAATAGATGGTTTAGATAGGTGTGGTTAATTAAGTCACTTGATGTTCAATACGATTAGTGTACATATGGATCGAAAGTCCAGAGAAACAAGATCGCAGCCGTGGAAGTCCTGTCAATCCGCTGTGACTGATAGTCTCAATCATTCAATTTAACATGTAAGAAAGTTGAGTTGGTCATTATCTACCGTCCTTAACCATCTTGATGCCCAGTTAGCGGGTAGACTCGATCTTGCTTACACTGCCTTTCAGCATATCCCTCCTCCCCTGCTTTTCTTCTGAGTGTATGCACCCGGCTCTCTGCACAGTGACTCAGATAACCAACTCTCCTTGGGTGGTGGCGTCAACGACCAGTCTTTGATCATCCGTGCCATCCGTAGCAACTTCCGAGAGTCCGTTGTCCGAGTGTCCGATATCCGAGATACCGAACCGCACCGAAGAGCCCATCAAGTCGCCTTTGATTGTCCTTGGGTAGACCATGACCGGTATGCTGAATAACAAGCTATGAGCTGCAACGTGCAAACGTTGGAGTCAGGAGCCAACGACGCCGACTGATTGCTCGCAGCACATCCTCCGCGACCCATTGTTGGAACCGTTTCAGCATTGCATTTGTCCGCGGAGAAGCTGAAAGGCCTCATTCAGTGGCCGTTGAGGACGTCCTATGGTCGCAGTTACGCACGTGGGCAATTGCATGATGCGATGGATGGATGACACTGGCCGGCCTTCTCAGGGCAATCAATGTATTGTACAAAGCATAGGATGTGAATTTGACTCAGGCGATTCTGCATATACTGGATTTCACTGACTGTTCTCAAGCCATGCCTTGATGATCACCATCAGCCGTGGCCTACTCAGTACATCTCTTTCTGGCTTTTCCGGCGGGAAGTGCAACCGACCTCGGAAGTCACTGGACAACCGAAGTAACTCCGACGATTGCAAATCTCTCAAACAAGGCAAAGGAGAGGGGGTCCAGGTTGGTTGTTCCAACTTTCAACAGATCGAAGGACTCTCTCTCTCTCTCTATGTACATAGTACTAATGTAGCTAGCTAGCTAAGCGCACGGTTTAGATAGGCAAGATGGATCATCCGCTACGAGATTACCTGAGAAGTTATTCTTTGCCTACAAACCGCCTAGTTTTAGCCCACTCTGTGAACTGTCATCAGTCATCAGTCATCAGTCATCAGTCATCAGGCATCAGTCATCAGTCATCAGTCATCACTGTCATTTTCCGCCTTGCCTGACCTGGAGAAGCTGACCCAGTTCATGCTCATTCCCGAGATGGAAGATCTGCCTTGCAGATCCTCGCAGGGATCAGTCCATTTCTCGCCCCGTACTTGACTTCCACCAAGTTGCCCTCCCTCTATTACTTCTTTGGGATGAGTTCATGCTCCTCACTCCATTGAGAACGTGAACTGACTATAGTCTAGTAGCATCGAAATGGCTAAGCTTCCGATCTGATGTACAATACAGTACATATGAGTATTCTGTAGGTAGTAAGTAGTATTCCAACCTAGGTCCCTCAAGACAAACAAGCACCTTAAGGACCTCGGAGCGACTATCCCTTTCCGTTTCCAAGCTTAACGGTGTAGACTCTCCCCACCCTCCTCCTTCCCCAGAGATTTGTCCGGTTCCCCGAACCTCAGGGAGGGAAAAGCTGCTTGTTTTTTCTAGGATCACATGCAGACTCGTACAAACAGTTCTATCTGGATGTGCACTGGTCACTACTGCACAGCAGATCACTAGTGTAGTATCAGCGTGGAGTTAGGCGCGTGTATACAACAGTAACAATGCCACCTCCTCCTTCCGACATCATCATCATCATCTTCTTCTTCTTCTCATCCTCCTACATAGAGTTTGAACCGAGGACTGGCCTTAACGGGCGTTTTTCCTGATTCGGAATACGCTGAAGATTCGATGGCTTAGTTAGTACCTACCTAATGGATGGCTAGGTACCTACTAACTATGGCTGCCCCCCTCCCAGTCGTGCCTTGTAGGTACCCCGTTTGTAGATGTCGATTCATCCACCTGCATGTTCCGTTTCTTGACCTTTGCCGACTGCAGACAAGGCGTTACCTATTGCTGTTTCCCAGAGCTCCAACTCATCTCAGCCAATCAGTCTATAACTCGGTATCGATGGTGGAGACCGAACCCCAGGTTGTTGTTGCTGTTGTTGCTGTTATTGCTGCTGTTGATCAGTGGAACTCCCCAAGGTCACAAGTCAGGTGAACGGAGATGGAGTGGTGGATGGATGTGATAGGCTTGATCCATTTTCCTCCATGCCACCCTGTCGATACGAAGTCAAAACCATGAGCTTGGAGACAGCCGTTGTACCGAGCGCGTGGCAGTCTTTCTGGTACGACTCCAAATGGTTCCAGCTTTCGGCTTGGAAGCTCAACCAACAGGTTTAACCTTGATTGTGATTGTGTCCCGATCACGCAACGATACAACCCAACACCAGGGTCCTCACTTCGCACTGGTCCATTTGGTTCTCCGTACTCCGTACCTTCTGGTAGTTTCTGCACAATGTACTGTAATCATTTCTCTGGGATCGGTACCTAGTAATCTGGGGCTTCCGAGAGTACGGTACTCCGTACCTGGCTCAATCTCGGGAACACTCGCTCTCTCCCTCTCCCCCCCTCCCCGTTCAGTCCCTCCCCTCCCCTCTGAATCCATGGTAATACCCGCCACTCAACCTGACCTCCCGGGCAAGGCTAATGAGTCTATTCAATCTAGTGAGTAATGTAGCTAGAGTGGGCGACCATCCTCATCTCCCAGACTAGTTGGATACCTTAACCCATTGGACATCCTCCGTCATTATAACCATAACCATAAACATAGACATAGACATCGACATTGACATTGACAATCTAGAATCAGCAACATCGCGAGACTTTCCGAGGCTCCTCCTAACGATGCGCTCGGATTACATTCCCTCATCATCACCATCACACACGGAATGAGACAAACAGCGCCAACTCGTAACTGCTTTTTTCTCCTGCCTAATGTGACAATTGGCTGCAAATGCACGCGGGCCTGGAATTGCACATGTTTCACAAATAAACTTTCAGTACGGGGTACTGTACACGCCGGTGGATCAAAACTCTACGATAGCCCTCTCAGCTCGATCTGGCCTCTGCCCCTCGCCCTCCTTCTCGGATATTGATTTGTCTGGTGCACCACCACCTAGCAATTAATTCCAAATCAAGTTTAGCGAGACAAAAGTCGGAGCCGGCAAAAACTCAAAATTTGCTGAGGCGCAAGTATACTAGGCTAGGCCGTTGCATCCATCCATCCTGTCGGCAATCTTTCAATATACTTCTGAAACAGGACAGCACCCCAGGGACTGCTGCCCTTTGCTGGCTGGTTACCCGGAAGTCTCTGACTCGAGGCTGTAGACAAGAGGGTCTAGGGCCCACGAGGAAGGAGGGGGGGGAGGGTCCAACGGATGTCTGATCTGTCCATCGGGCAACAGGATGGCACCTGGTCTAGCTCCTCCACGTCCAGTAGTGTGCTGGCTTGATATGACGCTATGCGCACGCTACCAAAGGGGGCCTCTGCCAGTCGGTCAAGTAGACAAATCGGGCCTAGAGGAGGGTCTGTGAAAAGTAATTTGTGATGATGAGGAGGAGGGGGCGGAGTCTGGGAGTTCATGGAATATTGAGAATAAGACACATTTGATAACGAGGTCGACCCTGGCCTTTGGCTCAACCCACCCCCCGAAACAAATCGTCCGGGTTTGGCTGACTATTCTATCTTCAGAGCTGAGGCTGGATCGAAGACTCTCTTTCAATGGTAAAACACCATCTCGCGACGGTCTAATCAATTTACTTACACAGCCGTCGCAGGTAGGAAGAAAGAAACATATATGAAGGATAGGAATGGTGCGTATAAAC